AACAACAACAACAACAACAACAACAACAACAACAACAACAACAACAACAACAACAACAACAACAACAACAACAACAACAACAATCGCTACACCCTAAGGCTAGATGTGTAGACCTACCGGAGGGTGGGAGAACAGACACGGAGCAGCGCGATGGCGGCAGGTTGCTGCTCGACGCGGTGCGCCGGGGAAGGCGGAGCAAGGCGTCGTTGTGGACGCCGAGGCGCACGCCCACGCCAGGGAGCTCGAGGTCGATCATCGTGTCGTCCCTGGAAGAGGCGGGTCGAGTGGTTCGGGTCGCTGTGACGACAACGCAGAATAAATAATGCGGGTCGACGCTTTTAGTTTGTTGGGCTTTTTTTCGACCCCATTCGTTTTTGTGCAAAAAAAGAAAAAAAGAAATCAAAATAAATGGCTGACAGTCTTGCGCGCCGCTGCACCCACGCTGCCGTTGGGGGAGGAGAGGAGCGGTCGAGAATCTCAGCGACTTGATCAAACAGTCAACAGCATAACACTTGGCTCACGTCCACAAAAACAGTGGCGCGCGCCTGCCGTGAGGTTAGCAGTGAGACCCCGTGTGGCGGCGGGGAGGGGCGGGGCGGGTATCGCTAGCCAGGGGACCACACGGACGAACCCTTCACCCCAACCCCTGCCAGCGCCAGACCTTCGGCCCTCAAGCCCTTGGCCTTAGTGGGGAGCTGAGAGGGGAGGGAGGGGGGGGGTGCCAGGGGCACGTATAGAGATGGGATATATCATTTGTTAGCTGAGTTCGGATAAGTCATGGAAAGACAGTAGTGATACATCAATCTGTGTGTATAGAGGGAGGTTCTCAGTCAGGCTGGAGAGTGCTGTACTTACTTTAGGTAAAGGCGATCGTAGAAGATTATCTAGCTGTGTGGACTTGAACACGATACGCGGTGCGCCTTGCGCGCGGCGGCGGCCGGGCCCACCGACGGGGTGCAGCTCGCGACCGAGAGCGCCGAGCGCCGGGGAGGCCGGCCGGGGAGAGGCGCAAAGGCGACACCAGGCCAGCCGGGCCAGCCACCGCTCGCGAATCGGCTCGACTGGCCGCCGTGAGAAAACGCAAAGCCTAAGCGTCTCGGCGCGCGCCAGCCTGCCGCCGGCCTGCTGCCAGCCTCGGCGCGGCGGCCGGGCGCGCCAGGCGTGAGGGGAGAGTAGAGTAAGTGCATGCGGCGCCCCCGCTCCTGCCTCTCACCAGTTGTTCCCATAAACAAGCCCGTGTCTGTCAATCTCGCTCTTACAAACACACGCGAACCACTGCGTGCTGACTACGACCTCAAGCTGTGACGCACATCGACAGAGATCGCGTGGGTACAGCAGTATGTAGCGCCCGCCGACTGGAGGGTAGGCAACCGCACGACACTCCTGACGACTGGTTGCCTACCTCGATCTCCCCGGGCGCTATGTACTACTCTGCTCTGTTCTGTTACTCGTCAAAAATGACTCGGCAGATGTAGTACGAGGTTGTATGCTCCGGCTCTTTAGATAAGTAAAGGATGCTATTGATTAAAAGATTGTTTAAATTTTATTGAACAATCAATTCGATGTTGAGGTATAAAATCTATCAGCTATATAGTTACACTAATTACAGTTTTCATACAAAAAATATTTACAATTGTTTAAAGCATTAGAGAAATATACCTGGGCTGGTTGTACAAAAGATTTATACAAAGTACTTTGGAGTCTACAAAGTATTTTCAGATCAGTTTCAAGATGCGTAAAGCATACAGTCATCAGTAGAAATATTTAGCTTCCTCAATTTACTCCAAGTGGTTCTAACCTTGTGTAAATAGGAATAGGCATTTTTATTTATTCTTGTAAAAATAACAGCCTTGGTTATTGTTAAGAATACAGACATGGCAGAATTATTCCAAGCACTACTACAAATAAGGCACTTTGATTTGCTAACTGTACAATTTATAAATAATCTAATATTACAGTTCCTGCACTGTGATTGGTAACAGTCCAAATTTACACAAAGAAAAGGGTAGTTACAAAAGAGTCTATGTTACAGAGTTTATATGACAAACTGTGTAATTGAGAAGTCATAAATTAACTTTCTGGTCTTTGCACAACACAAAAACATCTCATACAAAATATGTATGTCTTACTGAAGTTCATAAATATCGGCTTACATAACTATCACTTTTGGTTAATTAAATATCACTTCAACTGAAAATGTACCTATGTACAGTTATCAAGCAAAACAGAATACATAAATAAATTACACATTTTGTAAAATCAGTCCTTTCAAATGACATTACATTCAAAGTCATGGAGGATCTCTTCATGCCCTGAAAGTGCTAAAAAGTTGGACCAAATATTTGTGAAGTTCAACAGAAATAAAATCCAATAAAAGAACACTTTTCATGAAAGAAATATATATGAAACTATTGAAGAGTAATTTTACAAAATTTGCGGACATTTCATTTTTAGGATAAGTAACCGGCCTCGTAAAAATATCAATGCACAACTGCAAGTAAACTGCTTTCAATACCAAGACAATAATAATTAGACGTAAAAATTAAATGAAGTCCAGCTCTTTTTAGTATGCTTGCAGGAAAGTTGCATCTTAAAGCATTCATTACAGTTATATTTAAAAATCTACATGGCAGACATGTCTATGTTAAACTTAAACTTAAATAAAAAAATCTCTACATAAATCCAAATTTATTTCTAGGCAAGGGAAAAAATTTGCACTTTGTATAGAATCAGACTTGTGACGTCATTGTTAAGTTTTTTAAGTACAATCCCTTTCTTTCCTCTCTCTTTTTTTTTGTCTGCTTAAGCACATTTCTAAAGTTCAGTTGTCTCTAGTTTCTTGGATATAAGAGGGTTACTAAGTTTGTCCAAATGCTGATAGAGGTTCTGATGATAAGTTGACATAGTGCCTATTCGATTTAAGTCATTCTGCTCTTTAAGGGGTGCAACAGAGACAGTGACTGTTGCTGTTTCGCTTGACGCTCCAGCTGGCAGCATGTTAGATCGGCTGCAAGCAGAATTACATGTGTGATATGGCTTAGTAAAATCATAGGAGCAGCTGAACATTAGAAAAAGGTTGAAGTGAGGCTCCTGTCATACCTATTGCATGAATCACTGTACACTGTCTGACGTTCACTCGAAATAAATGTTCCCCCATTTGGTTGTGGTGGTGATCTTATTGCCTCCGCATGGGAAGTAACAGCGTTCTCATCGAGGGAGTCTCTGTCTGATGCTTGCCTAAAAAAATATATGAACCACATTAATAATGTAACTAATAGAACACGTAACAATGAGATTTGAAAATTTTAAAATAAAATGTAATCAAGATAAAACTGTTCAACTTACACTTCAGAGTCTTCCTCTTTGTACCACTCATTTTCATATGCTTGCATCCAAATAGGATTGGATCCTTCAGTGCTATGCATATTTGTATTTGGAACTCGACCACTTGCCTGACCCAGAGCTGAATCACTAGATCCTGAAAAAATATGGCACCATGTAAATTTTCAAAATACATGAACATTAAAAACCAGGCATTTTTAGAAAGTCAATAACATATCTATAAGACATCAATAATCAATTTTACTCACCAAAAGCAGTAGCAGTAGCTGCTTTTAGTTGCCTCTGATATGATGATCTTTGAGACAGACAGATGGAAAGTACCAGCAAAAGCAACAACCCAAGTAGGACAGTACTACTCACAAGCCAAACCCAAATTAGCTGTTCAGCTTCAGCTTTAAGGGGAATGGCCTCGGCAGGCATTGTATCCAGAACATTGAACTCCTGGTAAAAATAAGAAATAGGGTTTATCATTATGAAACTTAATCTTGTTATCAGTTTACAAACTGCAAATAAGCGCACAAACTTGCCTTGAATAAGGTGTCAAGACTTTCAATGTTTTGATCTACAAGCCTCAAAACATCCCCAACTTCCATAATGGAATTATCTCGCTTATTGACAAAATGCAAATACAGGTCAGTTTTGGTTTTGTCAACTGAGCCATCATGATTTTCATGAACTTTGTACTCATCAACATTAACTATGGCACCAGTAACATTGCCTAACACCCTGTAACATAACATAGAAATTAAAATTGTACTTGGATGAGAAGTTTAAAAATAGAGGTGAATTACAAATTTTTTACTCACTCTCTTAACACTTCAATTTTCTCGCGCACTTCAGGTGGATGTTGGCGCAGTACAAAGCGAACACGTTGGTCTTCTCGTAATAAGTAGATAAAAACGCGTGCCATGTCTTGGAGTCCTCCAGTATCATTTGCCAACACCTGAAATTGTTGATGGGGATGATAAGACTAATATCAAAATTTGGAACATTTATTTACAACTGCTGAAATTTTATTCCAACTTACCATGAAGTCAAAGTACCCCTTCATTCCTCTTTGAGGATCGAAATTCAGATGCACTCCGCCTGTATCACGGTCTACTAAAAATGGTGGATGCTGAATATTTTCCATTCCTTCACTCAGGGTCATTTGTACTCTTCCAATCTGATAATAGTTCACCACTGAATTGACACCTTCATCAGGATCGACAGCCTGAGAAATAAACCCCATGGATTATTATTGGAAAATATCCACAAAATTTAAGTTTTGATGGATACCTTTGGATTATTCTTTTACTTACGGTGACTTGCATAAACTCAGTCCCAAAATCAGCCTCTGTAGTTACACCACCAGTAAAAACTTTTTTAACAAAATGAGGAGGGTTGTCATTTATATCAATTACTTTTACAATCACCCGAAGAAGAGTATCATCTTTTGAATCAAACATCCATCCATCAACTAGAGAAAAGTTGCTGCTTAAATCACCAATGCTATTAGAAGCCTCGGAGATCTTAGAATCTCTAAGCGAAGGTCTGTGCAGACAATCTTCAGAGGCTTTTATGAGTAGAATATGCTCAGAGGCCTTTTCTCTATCCAGCTCCTTAGCAACCTATAAAACAAAGAAAAATTCTTACAAAACAATAGATTTTCAAACAAAAAAACAAAAAAATACTTATGAAATGCATTTGTTATAGTTGTTTGTATTTAAGAGATATTTTTAAATAACAGATTGCATGAATGAATACACACCAAAAGTTCATGACGTAGGGGTTCTAATGCAAACAGACCGTCCTTGTTGCCAGCAACAATGTAGTAACACACAGGAGTTGGTGGATCGTCCAATTCATCAACTTCATCCCTATCAACTGTGTCAATCAATATGCGTCGTTCATGGCCAGGAGAGCTATGTTCTGGGGTACAAAATGCAAGAATCAAAATTGATCAATAAAATATAAGATATATATGCAAAACCTATTGTCAAAACCTTCTATCTATTTTGCTACATACCTGTGAAATTCACAGTGAATTCATCTACAAGGAACTGTGGCTCATAGTCATTTACATTGCGGACATACACTGTAAGATCCAGGTCAGAGGACAGTGGGGTGGGAATGCCTAAGTCATAAGCTTCAACTCTTAACTGTAATGAATCACAAAAAATAAAAATATTACTATTTGTTAAACTAAATGTAAAAGTGAAAATACAACTGAAAACTTCAAAAAAGAACAAGAAATGTCAGTGCTTCAATTACCTGATATGTTTTCTGACGCTCACGGTCAAGAGGCTGGCGAAGTTGAATTATTCCACTTATATCATCAATTGCAAACGTTCGCCAATCGCCGGATTGGTCTTGTCTCAAACGATAACGCACTGCTCCATTTGGTCCTACATCTTCATCAACAGCTTCAACCTGTATGACTGTGCTTCCAAGTGTAGCATTCTAAAATTAAAAGAGAATAAGAAATTAATCTGTTAAATCAAGCAACCTTTCAAAAATACAATCAAATTACTACCAATACAATGTCTTACCTCGGGTACCCGGATAGTTATGTTGTGGGGTGGGCTGATAAAACGAGGTGCATTATCATTAATATCCAGCACACATATGGACAAATCCATAGTTACCGAATTAGGAGGAGACCCCAGATCTTGAGCTAGAAGCTTCAATGTATAATTTCCATATCGAGCTTTTAAAGTTGTGGTTGAAACAATTCGAGCAGACCACCAATCAATAGTTTCTAATCTAAATAGCTCTGAAAAGAAAACAAAACAGTCAGAACTGAAAACCAAAAAAACCCCTGAGAAACAAGAAAACATTTCATTTTCAGTGCTTTGCATTCCACTAACCTTGCTCATTTCCTCCTGTTATTGAAAATTTAATACGACCATTGGGTGTATTTGGATCATCAGCATCGCTGGCTTTGACAACTGTCACAGTGTCATGGGGCTCATGAAATTCTGTTATATGAACACAGCCATTCACTGGCTCAAACACAGGAACTTCATCATTCACATCAACAATGTTGACACTGAAGAAAAATGAAAACAAATACATTATAAGGGAAGTGCAAAAAGTATTTCATAAAATTTGAATTTTGAAGGCTTAAATTTAATTGTTTACCCAATCTGTTTGAACGCGTTGCGGCTTTCTCCACTTGCATAGCCAAATTGGTAATTGTCCCATGCTTCTATTACCAAGAGATAAGAACTTTGTTCCTCTCGATTTAATTTGTCTGATACATTTAAAACCCCTGTATCAGGATCAATTTGAAATTTGCCCTAAAATAAAAAGAACAAAAAATATAAGATGAATGATGATCAGACAAAATAAAACTTAAAAACTGCTGGTCACAAACTATTTCTAAATAATTTTCAGTAGAAACAAAATTGAGTAAAATTAAAGCTTACCAAAGATGAAATACGGTCCAGAAGATATGTAACTTTTCCATAATCCCCAGAATCTGCATCTTTTGCTTGAATAGTAGCTATTTCAGTTCCTAAAAAAAAAATTCAAAATGCAAAAATATCATGAAAATTTGAATTACTGTCGCAGAAGTAAAATATGAGAATAGGTGTTATTTTGTACCTATTGGTGCATCTTCTCTCACAGTTATATTTGTAATGTCTCCAATAAAATATGGATTATTATCATTTTCATCCAAAATTTGAATAAATACTTCAACATGACTTGCTCTGGAGGGGAAACCCGAGTCAGTGGCTTTAACGGTAAAGTTAAGCCAACTGTGCTGTTCAAAATCAATGCGGTTTGCAACAACCATTTCTCCTGTCTCTGGATCAAGATGCACAAGGTCTTGCAATGCACGGGGAGCTAATTTTTTTTTTCGATAAAACAAAAAAACAAAAAACAACAACATACAAATTAATATTTTACTTTTACAACAATTGAAATAAATTTAAATACAAATGATGTTTGACCACACCTTCCAAGGAATAAGTAATAGTTCGGTTCTTATCTGCATCATCAGCAACAATACTGACTATCATAGATCCAGTTTGACTATTTTCTGGTATTGATCTCCGGTAAAATGGTCTTCTGAACTTTGGATTGTTATCATTTTCATCATCAACAATTATTGTCAATATAGCTGTCAAACATAGGGACTAGTTACAGTAAAAAGTCATAAACAGTAAAAATAAGAAGCAAAGATAGCTTGTGTACACAATACCTGAAGCAATTTGTTTCCCTTTAGCTGCAGCTAGATCTTCAACAACAAGAGCAAGGCGGATACTTTCAACCTGCTCTCGGTCAAGGAGGCGAGCCACTCTTAATAAGCCATCCAGGGGACCTAACTCAAATACCGATAGATAATCATATTCAGTACTCTTCACAATGGTGCCCTCCTCATTCCTGGCTTCAGAGTTGTCTGGATCAATACGATACCGTAATACAGGCTTGGCATCTAAATCTGTGGCCACCACTTTGTACACCGTTTGTCCTACCTGGAAAGAAAGATAATGGTGTGACAATAAGAAATTTAGGCACTCAATTTGTTTAAATTAGAGGATTATTATTTTTTTAATTTTTTTTAAGGACTTACAGGAGTATTTTCATAAACATGAATTGTGCCAGGTTCCTGAAAGACAGGTGCCTTGTTATTTACATCCACTATTGTGATGTTCACCGGAACAGCAGCTTGACGCTGTCTAGCACCAATCCCTCCATCTAGTGCAACAACCACCATAGCATACAAGTTGCTTTTGGGATCAGATCTGTCAGGATCTAAATTTGCTCCATGAGCCACAGTTACAATCCCAGTATCAGCATCCATGACAAACTTGTCCTCTGCTCCTTGTTGAATGCGGTATACAACACGATTGTTTGGTGATGAACCATCAGCATCCCAAGCTTTCACCTGAAGAACCGAGCTTCCACCAGGCAAGTCTTCAGGAATTGAGCGCAAATAATACCCCTGTTCAAATTGAGGTGTATGGTCATTTACATCTTGAACATATACTGTGACTAGAGCTTGGGACCACATGGGTGGGACACCTAAATCTTGGGCTTGCACAACCATACGAACAGGTCTGACATTAGGTCCTCCAGCTTCCTCAGAAACAGCTCTTGTACCAACAAGCTGTTCAAAGTCAATCGGGGAAGTAGGCTTCAATACACCAGTGACAGGGTCAAGTGTAAAATTTCCAAATGGATCACCATCAATGATACTGTAATGTATCATACTATGACGGGTCCCTGAAAAAAATAAAAATAAAGAAATTTAGAAATATGTGATATATGAGAAACAATTTTTCAGATAAAAGTATGGATACTGATAGTTACCATTTAAGTCAAGGTCTCTTGCCTCAATTACTAGAGGAGATTCAAATTCAGTAGAGTCTTCTAATAAGCGTGCTTCATATTCACTCTGTAGAAATTCTGGAGCATTGTCATTGACATCTGCTATGTTAACAACCAACTGCACAGTATTTCTGAAGAGAGATGAGTGGTATTAGGAATCAAAGTGAATTTTTAAACAAGCAAAACTAATTCAATTGTGAAAATAAAGTACCTGTTTCCTCTCCCTAGATCATCTCTAACTTCCACAGTAAGATAGTGGCGAGACGCTAACTCCCGATCAAAGTTACTTCCCTCCGCTTTGATTGTGATAACACCAGTCAAAGGATCCAGATGTAATCTGCAAACAATTACACCAAATACAGTAAATCTAAATAATATTTTAAAGAAAACTTATCACATGTTAACTGAAGACCAAAATTCAAAAGTTGACTTGATTTAGTTGAAAGTACATACATATCAGCAACACTTCCCCGCAGTTCTGTGAAACGAATGCCTGCAGTACCAAATTCACCTGAGTCTGCATCTTTTGCGACTATTTTGGCAACAGTTGTACCTTTCAATGAGTTTTCAGGGACAGAAACCTGAAGAAAAAATTTGTGTGTTTTAACTCTTTGTAAGGACAGCTAATGAGCCTTTCCAAATCATACAAGAAATAGGAAACTTACCTCATATACATTTTTATCAAATTCTGGAACATTATCATTTACATCTCTTATGTGTACTGTCAGAGGGACAGCACTGTACTTTGCATTATTTGGTACTGTTTCTTTGGCTACTAGAGTAAAATTCATAACTGAAAACCACAAAAATATAAAATTATCCCTTGCGTATATATTTGTGAGGTTTCATAGTAAATTTAAGATGCACACCTTTGGTTTTTTCATAATCCAATTTGGTTGAATCTTTCACTCGCACAAGGAATGTTGCTTCATTTATTCCTTTAGGAGGAGTAACTTCAAAAATACCTCTGTCTCCTTCAATGAACATAATAAAAGTCCCATTGTTCCCCTACAGAAAAAACAACAAGTAATTTTTAATTTCCATGTGAAATCATTTTTATATCAGTCTGAATTGTTACATACCTGATCATGGTCAAAAACTTCTGGCACCGCATTTCTAAGGAAGGTAACTGGTGTGTTTATGGGAGCATTCTCATTTACTTCAGCAAAATATGCCGAGCTCCGGAAGGTGGGAATCTCATCATTGACATCCATCAAAATAACAGTTACTTCTGTTCGGGTTGTAGGTGGAGGCTGAACTAATTTTGAGTCTTCCTGAGCCTAATTTGAATCAATGAAAAGGCAAGACAAATCATTTTTTTAAGAATAGGAATACAAAAGATTAACATAAAACAACCATCAATTTAACTAAATAACAATGATAATAATCAGCTTGATACAGTACCATTATTTCAAGGATGTAAGCGCCATTATTTGTGAGTGGTCCTTCCCTATCTAGTTTCTGGAGTGTAAAAATAATTCCTGTGTTAGCATCAATTTCAAATACCCCATGGGCTCCACGGGTAATGGAATAGGAAATTGGATTATTAATTCCTCGATCGCCATCAACAGCTTTCACTGCAAAATAAATGTATTGCATAAGGATGAGAAGCACTCAAATTAAAACTGTTCTTATGAAACAATTACACTCAATCTCCAGTATTCAACATACCTTGAAGAACTGAAGATCCAATGCGAGCATCTTCACTAACTCTCGAAACAGCGGGAACAACAACAAACTCAGGTGGTTGATCCTCAACGTCTTGTACCTTAACTAGAATGGCAGCTGTTCCAGTGTTGACCTATGAATAAAATATCAAATTATGATTAAGATGCAAAGCAGATTTTTTTTCCCTCTTTGGCCTCCGTAAACTGCAACGATACACTTACCCTTTCATTTATGGCTCTATCCACTGCCAGAACACGTATTTGATACAGAAACTTGCGTTCGTAGTCTAGGTGGCCGGCCAACCTCAGCACACCCTTGCCATTCACCGTCGAGATGGAGAAGAGGTCGTCGTCGCCGTCCAGCTCTTGGAGGTAGTACACAACCTGCACGGAGACGCAAGCAAGAGCTTTATTGAGCTCGGCGCAACATGTAACGTGACCACAGCATTATGTTTGCCACTACTCACCTGGCCGTAGGCTCCCTCGTCGAGGTCCGTGGCCTCCACGGTGGCGAGCACACCCGGGTCCGCGTCCTCCCGCACCGTGATGCTGGGCGGGTAGGGCTTGAACACGGGCTCGTTGTCGTTCACGTCCTCCACGAGCAGCAGCAGGCTCTGCGTGATGAAGTTGCCGTCGCCGAGCCGGCCGTCGGTGAGCGTCAGCACCAGCAGGTACTCGTCGCGCACCTCCCGGTCCAGCTCCTTGTTCAGGTACACGTTGGCCTCGCTCGTGCCCAGGTTCTCGATGCGCAGCATGTCATGGCCCTCCGAGCCGCGGACGCCGAAGGTCAGAGCGTCCCCGTCCGGGTCCGCTCCTCGAAGCCGGTAGATGAGACTCCCTGTCGACGAGTAACCGGGATGTCAGGGAGACTCTAAACAAACGCGTCGACCCCCGAGGCCCAACACCCCAACACCCATGCACCCAAGTGTACTGACCGACGGGCGTCTCGTTGCCCTCCTTGAGACGCAGCACGATCTCCGTCTGGCCGTCGATGAGGAAGCGCGGGGGGTGGTTGGCCGCAGCGCCCGTCGCCGTCAGCAGCACGGCCAGGACGACGGGCAGGAGGACGGGCAGCAGGGCCGGCAGCGCGAGGCGCAGGGGGCCCTTGATGCGCACGCGGCTCGTGCTGCCCTCCGTGCGGAGCCTGGCGGAGCTAGGCGGCATGGTGGACCTAAAGGCGGACCGTCATCGCCCAGACCCCGGCAGCGGCGCGGCAGCATCACATTCCTGCAACACGAGGAGATGTCGGTGACGATCAGGACGGGAACATGAATGCCTTCGCAGCAAATCGATTCCAAAAAGTCTCCTCCTTTGTTCCAGCAGTGTCGAAGTCCTTGGGGTGGCGGTGGCGGAGCAAAGCGCTCGCAAGCCAAACCCACAACTGGGTCGCATCGCTTTGATGGACCGCAGGCCGAGTCCTGACCGCCGGCCAGTGGGGGGTCGCTGAGTGCACGTCTATATTGCACACGAGTATTGCACGTGTTGTGTGTGTGGAGAGGGGGAGGGAGGAGGAGGGAGAGTGTGTGTGTGTTATATCAAGAGTGAAATCTTACGGTCAGCACCCTGCCTGACCCACCCAACTCGACCCAACCAGCCACCGTGACCGGCCTCGGGAGCACTGCGAGC